GGTACCACTGTCGTTTTTGGTCGGTTTGAGATATGGACATCCCACGTAGCATTTATGCCATTATAAAAATAGTGAGTTGTGGACGGTGGAATTATGGGATGGCGCTTGGTACCACAGACTCAGGGGACCCCCCTGAGTGCAGTAAAATAGTTTTTATCATGACAGGAACTTTAATTAAAATGTCTATCAAAAACACTACCCGAATCCCCATTCAATATATTGCCGATGGGACCGCGTCCAATTGCAGCATATTGAATGAACAGCGGAAAAACTTTAAAAAATATAGTGGGTTATTGGACAAATAGTGGGTTCGTGGGATGGGGGCGTGTCCGGGACCGGTCAGTGGGGACGTTTCGAGGTGGCTCCACCGAGGGGCTTTTGCGGAACTGCCTCGGGGGTCCCGAAACTTCGGGCTCCTCCCGTCGGCCCCCGGGGGGGTCGGGGCGTGTTATAAAGTTATAATGTTCAAGTTTTTGTTCTAAAAAATGACTCTAGATTGATTCGAAGATATTTAGTTTGTTACAAACAATGTGCAATCTGTAAAACAAAAACCTCAAAATTATAGTTGAAATGGTATACTGCTGGGATGTTTTTGACCTTGAGAAAAAGCTTAAAGTATAGACCAACAAATTTTATGTTTATTAATTTATTTCATGTTGGTACATTTTTGGGAAGTACACCTATTTTGACCTGATGTCCATTGGAATGGACAAAAAAAAATCACAATGAAAGCAATTATATAAAAAAAAATTTCATTTGTTTTAATTTATAGAAACCTCATGAGCTGGTAATATGTACTTTTATATTTTTCAGAAACTTGAAACATAATTCAGGTCTGAGGGGGTTAACGGTACAATATGTAAGAATTTTGTAATATATTATCCAAAACTCACTCGCAGAGTGTGGGGTGGTGATGGCGCAGTGGATAAGACATGTGCCTTTGGTGTGAGAGACCCGGGTTCTCTCTACTGTTAGACACCAATGTGTCCCTGAGCAAGACACTTAACCCCTAGTTGCTCCAGAGGCCTGCGACCTCTGACATATATAGAAATTGTAAGTCGCTTTGAATAAAAGCGTCAGCTAAATCAACAAATGTAAATGTAAATGTGATATATTTTCTGCAGTTGTGTACTGACAATATCCCAAAAGTTCCCAAATATTTTTAATTTCAGAGAAATTCCAATTCTAAATAATGGGCCATGATCCCAGGCAGACTTTGTGAAAAAAGGAGAACTAAAACGTGGATCAATATCGTTGGCGTTTTCGAGATGTCGAGAGCGCCACGTCCGTGACAAACTTTGACTTGACAGAGCTCTTGCATGTACTTTATTAGACAGGTAAGCAAATGTACATAAAACTAATCAATGTTATATAGTTAAACATGATCTGTTAAATATGATCTGTATGTTATACTGTTGATCAAGCTTACTGCTAATCTCATACAGCCAACAAACTATACATTAGGACTTTCACCACACTCAAATGCAGTTTAGTGTGATAGTGCTATAAAAATTGAAAATGCAGTTTAGATTTGCAGTTTAGAAAATGCAGTTTAGATTTTAATTTTATATTAAAAATATAAAAATGCAGTTTAGTGTGATAGGGCTATAAAAAATTCATGATAAAAAGTCTCGCTACTACCATCATTGTAAAGTACTAAGTAACTATAATATTTTAAATTTTGAAAATCTTATTAAATATAATCAAATTTCTTCTCTATTTAAAATGATCCATAACATCGCTGCACCTCCTTTAAGAAAATTTGTGACACTAAATTCGGAGAGAAATTGTAGAACCACACGGTCGACAGTTAGAGGAGAGTGCAGCGTTCCAAAACGCAGAACCACATACAGTATGGTCAACAATCTTTTTCTTATAAAGCAGTGAGCCTTTGGAATACTCTTCCAAATGAAATTATCTCTTGCACTAACTATAGCACATTTACACGCCTGACCAAACAGTGGTTATTAACAAATCAAACCTGTACGCACTGAATGACTGTGATACGAATGATGTAAACTGTGAATGAATGAGTTATAGATTCTCGTAGTGGAGAGTGTTATATGATATGAGTAAAGTGATGCTTCTGTGTTCGAATCAACTGTGTATTATAATTCTGTATATTATTTTTAATTTTTATAAGTATACCATCAACCTGTCCAGGGACTGCAGGCGGAAACTAGCATTTTTTTGCTATAACCTGGCACATGTCATCTCTTCTTTCTTAGATTAATGATTTTTTGTGCATTGTCCCTGATCAAATAAATAAATTCAAATTCAAAAAAAATAAATAAATTCAAATTCAGTGTAGAGCAAGTGAAACAGCGCTGCGTTACCTCACAAGTTTCATTCGTCTAAAAAACGGAGCTGTGTGAGTATTAATACAGCACTTGAGGGTAGTTTGGTGGTGTTTGGAGAGTTTTGGTCTCTCTGTGAGGATATCTGTCTCTCATTAGCAATCACGCCCTACTTTATCCCACAGTCACGTTAAAAACATTAATGCATTCACTCATCCATAAACATTATTAAATCCACCAGCTTGACGAGTTCCATAATTCTGCTGGAATTTTGCGTCATCAACCTACGCCTATTTTATTGTAAGAAGGAAGCTACCCCTAGAGGCGAAAAAACTATAACTATAACTATAACGTAAAATACTGGGCATTTTATAACTTTGTTATCTGATACATACAATTAGCAAGTATCAGGCAGTGAATACTCACTGACAGTGTTTACTTCTCTCCCACCCTTGATGTTTACATGTTACGTGATAGCTACGGGCCAAGCATGCACAATGGATTCATAATTGAATAATTGAGAGATGTTATAACAAGCTATGATGAGCTAATACCAGCCACTACTTAACCTTGCATCTCATTGAATCAAGATTGCAGGCACATTCTCCAGGATTTATTTTCTCTTTCCACCTCTCTAACAGTCTTCTTCTGTTGGGACGTGACCCACAAATCACAAGTCTGGGGTGATGTTGTTGATGGCAGTAGGGAAGAGCAATCATAAATGCAATTAATGAAATGCTACTATACTGTATAATCCTGTTTAGAATAGGAAAATTAGAGGCTATTCAAATAAATAGAGGCTATTAGAGGCTATTGAAAGCATGAAACCATCACAATTGTATTTACGTTTAGACTACATTTTCCTGTTCAGCCTGTGTCATGTTAATAATATACTGTCTGTTGCTGAACACATTTTGTTGGATGACATGTTTTGAAAATTACCTGTGTTGTAGTGCTTGGTGCAGTATCTTAAATCAGACTCATCCTTGAGGATGAACTGTGGGAGGGTCAGTCCGTCAGCCACCTGCACAGGTCCCTTCTCTTGCCACTCAAAGATCAGGTCATTCATTGTGTATCCAACTAGGAGAAATACCAAGAGATAACTTTTAGCACATTTTGAGCTACATGCACCTTGAATGCAACTTCTAAAACACACACACACAAAATATTTTTACATTTGATAATAAAGTTCTATGATTATTGTTGGGACAAAATGATCAGTGCCCTAGTTGCCTAGGTCTGGCTTTTTTGGTGAATTTTGCCGTTTTGAAGCAAAATTACTTGCAGCAGAACTCAGCTTCGCACTTGGGAATCAGTAAGTGTATATATATATATATATATATATATATATATATATATATATATTTTTTTTTTTTTTTTCTGTTGTACTGCCTCGCTACGCCTGCATTATTCAAACTAATACTACAAAACAACATTGAATAGTGCTTAAAGGAAAATTTAATTTAAAACAAAAATTCTATCATCATTTACTCCAAGTTGTTTCAAACTTAAATTAATTTCTTTCTTCTACTGAAAACAAAGGAAGTTATTTTGAAGAATGTCAGTAACCAAACCGTTGATGGACCCCATCAACTATGGAAGTCTTTGGGTTCCATCAACTGTCTGGGTACTGACATTCTTCGAAATATCTTCCTTTCTGTTCAGCAGATTTGAAACAACTTGAGGGTAAGTAAATTATGACAGAATTCATTGTAATTTTAAGCGAAATATTAGATTCGATTCGATTCAATTAGATTAGATTAGATTCAACTTTATTGTCATTATGCAGAGTACAGAGCTAATGAAATGCAGTTAGCATCTAACTGTGACGTTGTGCGGAGAAATAGAGCTGAGGCTGGATCCAAACGCAGTGTAGCTTTAATACCAAACTTGAAACAGGAAACAAGACAAGAAGCAAGACTCGAGAATACAAAAACACCAACGTTCACATACATAAATTCAACAACCAACAAAGACAGGGCAGAAACACAGGGCTTAAATAATCAAGGACAAACAAGCTAGACAAGATAACAAGGGGGCGTGAGAAATACGAAACACCTGGGACAAATAATCGACGGGGAATCACTAATAACGAAAACACACAAAACCACATCATGACACTAACCAGAAGTGCAGAAATATAATGTTCAATATACAGATAAGTGCAGAAACAAGTCAAACAGCGTATGTGGAGCTATAGCAATATGTACAGAATATATGAATATACTAAAACCGTATGAAGAAAATGGACAAAATTCACCCATCATGTACAATATGAGCAGCTACAATGTAAGTACAGTTAAAGTAGTAATTGTTATATGTACAGAAGCAGTTAAACAATGTTCAATCTGTGCAAAATATATGAATAGTAAAAATAACATTTTTTTTGTGCAAAAGGCTTGTCTTAAAGGGTTCACCCAATGAAATTTCTGTCATTAATTACTCACTCTCATGTCGTTCCAAACCCGTAAGAACTTCAGTTATCTTCGGACCACAAATTAAGATATTTTTGATTAAATCTGAGAGGTTTGGAATGAAATGCGGGTGAGTAATTAATGACAGAACTTTAATTTTTGTCCGAACCATTCCTTTAAAGTGGCTTTGGTTGCAGTACAGAAAACAGGGAAGATGAATCAGACTAAAGGGCCATTTCAGAGCCACCCATGCAGGCAAATCAAATATTAAACCTGTAAACTAATTTTTATCAATGAAAGCAAACAAGAAAACAAACAACCCTAAGCTCTGGCTGAATTCTTGTTATTCCGTAACTAAAACAAAATGGTGAAAAAAAGTTTAGTGTTTTTCTTTATTTATTTTTCAATTGAAATTAAAATAATCAGAAGATCAGAACTGGTGTGATTTTTTTATACAAATTTGCTGACTTAGAAATATGTATTTGAACAGGAATAAAGGATGCTATCTACTGTACATACTAAAAAGGTGCAAGGCTTCATTAAAGAGGTCATATAATGCCATTTTAGACATTTTGTGAAGTTAATGTGATTATTTAGGGTCTAAATGATAAGTTTGTAATATACTTTAATTAAAAATTCTCATTAGTATTGTAAGAAAACAAATTTTACCTGGTCAAAAACAGCTCTGTTCTCTTACGACAGGTTCTCTCGTACTGCGTAATATCTTATGCTAGGGGAAAACCTCTTTTCCATGAGATATTGAAGTCAAAATTATCCTTAATTTTGAATTAATGTAAAACGTGTTGGGGCAGCATGCAGACATAGGCAAGATGGCTTGCGTGCCTATTGGCTGTCCGGTGGCAACCGCAGCACTTGGTGACGTCAGATCCAATGGGAATGCTTCGCGCCCACTACGTCACCTCTCATCACCTCACCTCACACTCTCTCAATCTAAAAAAGCAGCATCTTTTTAAAGATGCTATTACACAGATGCTATTATAAAGATGCTATTAATAGCCATTACAAGCTATTACACATGATGACTCTGATGATTCGTCCGGCATTTTTCTCCGAGTCTGGACTTCCATCCTCAGTAGTGCCACGCTGTAAAGAAGTGCCATATACTCAGCAGGTCCCCATGCATTCTCCAGCCCCTGAAAGCTCGCTGTTTCACGCGCCAGCTTCAACGGCTTCACTCGAGTCGCTCACCGACGGACAACTTCTGCCGTCTGCCGACGCTTCTACCAATAATGACAAAGAGATAGCTGCATTATCTGCAGAGGAGGCCAGCTGCTCTATCCTGGTGTCAGACAGTGAGGATTGGGCGAGCTCTGTGGACTTCACCCCCCTGCCTGCGATTCGTCAGGGAAATGGGCCAGCATTGAAGAGCCTTAGCCTTGAGTATACGCTATGAAAATGAGCAGTATCATTTATGCAGTAAATGATAATGAGCTTCTCTCACTCCACCCCTCTGTTCTGTGGGGCGCTTTGACAACGCACGTGGAATGCCTTTACAACGGTTGAGGGTATATTTTGGAGAGAGAATGGAAGCGGGAGTCTCTGAGGACACATCTGTGCAACCGTATCAATTTGAACCGCAGTCGGACCCGGAACAAGATGACAGCCGCAAAGAAGATCGACAATTAAGGCTTGAACAGGACATTTCTGAATGGTTGGTTAACATAATGTCACTTTGATCTATCTATGTGTTCTGGCAGGGTAGAGTAACTTAGTGAGATGTATGATTGCTTTTTGTTTACTGATGTGTACGCACTCAGTTTGTAATAACACGTGTTGTTCATTATAAACGTGGGATTATGAATTATATTGAGAACGTCATATAGAAAACATGCCGTAATGTACCCTGAGTGTAAACCTTAGCCGCATTCATTGTGAAGCGTGCAAGCGATTTGCAAAGATTAATATAAAATATACAATTTTACACTCAATTCTTCTGGTGGTGCAGCAATGACATTTTCTTATTTCAGGAGTAGTTTCTAAGCAAAACCAGCTTTGTACTGAGTCTGACCCTCATTTATAAAGCAGTCTGGTGGTGAGATTCGCTAATCGTGCAAACATGAAAGCAGTGACGTTACTTGTGGGGAATATTCCCTTTGAAAACAAAAATCAACCACTGTGTCTTCAGCGTTTCGGATTGATGAACATCAAAATGACTGTGTTGGTTAATACACTTAAGAACAGAACACCACAATCGCTTAGATGCCATTCTGCTCCTCCAGCATATCAACAATGTTGGACTATGATGATAACTCACTTCCCTTTTATTGACGTCACAAAAACGAACGGCTCAGTTTGAGGCAGCGGAAAACATAAGAAGGAGATTTTTTATCATTATATGATGGTTGTGTACAGTAAGTGCCAACACACATTTCAGTACAATCAACTTGAAAAAGTGCATGTACCATTATATGACCCCTTTAAGAAGACAAATCATATCACAAAGCATTAAGCTGTTCACCAGCACAATATCCTCAGGGCTGCAACTGCACCGGAAAATTTATGGTGTGATATTTCTTGATATAGCTCTAGTGTCACTTTTGCTTCTCTTGGTACCACTTTACTAGAGGGAAGGTGAATCTGCTCATTATTATGTTCTATTCTATTCTATTCTATTCTATTTAATGAGCAAGCTATTTCTAACTGAGACAATCTTTGTCAGAAATGGTCTCCTCATATAACATTGTTGTGTCAAGAGCCTTTCAATGAGCAACTCCCATAGCAACATGAACATGGCCACTCTAAAATATGCAGTTGTGAAGACATATTCCCAACGTTCCCATGTCCTTTCTTTAAAAGCCTCAACCCCAGCTCAGAGCACTCATCATGGGAGAGATCGAGGGACATGTGGCATGTTTTCAAGTCGACAGAAAGCTCTTGGAATGATTTACCAAACACTGCGACCACTAGCTGCACTAATCTTTAACCAGGCACGCAGTACTCAGACTGGAGAGAGAGTGAGAGAGAGAGAGAGAAAGAGAGAGAGAGAGAGAGAGAGAGAGAGAGAGAGAGAGAGAGAGAGAGAGAGAGAAAGATTTTAGCAGATCAGCCATGACAGTCAACAGGGAACAGGGCTACACATTTAAGGGGCTATACTAATGTCATCTGACATCAAATAGATGGATGGATAGATGGATGAATAGATGATAGATAGATAGATAGATAGATAGATAGATAGATAGATAGATAGATAGATAGATAGATAGATAGATAGATAGATAGATAGATAGATAGATAGATAGATAGATAGATAGATAGATAGATAGCTAGATAGATAGATAGACTTCCTTAAGTTACTGTCTAGGATGGTATATAACTTCTATGTGATGATTTTAAGGCAACAGGCCAGATGTCTGACATAATTTAGAACGACCATGCAAGGTAAATGCTAAAACCAGATATGCTTCACATCAAATCCACAATTGAGAGGTCAATCCTGGCTACTGACTGAAGTTACATTATCAAATGAAAAACACTGTTTGCTTACCATACAAATCTGAACGAGGGGCGGGGGGAGTTACATAACAAGCTCTTGATGAGAGGAGGTCATACGAGATTACTCACAACTCTCCAGCTGCATTATGCACGTCTGCACATCCATGGGGAAATTCTTCAGATCCATTGGACAAGAGAGTGTCAGTGTCAATCTAAAATTAAATGAAAAAAAAAGAAGATTTTATAGATTATACACACGCCCTATGTTTAAACAAACAGTAGAAAACATGGTAAAATGCAAATGCAATTCAATGAACATTTTCTGAATGTTTGTTAAAATCCACAGCTCAGACAAAGAAGGGAATCAAGGCGGAGGGCTGTGAGGATCCGAAGCTACTTGAGAGGTGGAATTTCTGAACGGGGCCACTAAAGCAGAGGAGAGACGAGTCTGACAGCCGCAGATTGGTCATGTTTTAATTACACTCTTTCTCCCTCAGGGCACCACGTGAATTTCTGTGAATCCTCTGTCGACTCACATCTGCTCAGCTTTCCCTCATATCTGCTCAAAAGCCTGACATAATTTACCACTCACTATTAACTCCAGCACTACCCATCAACCCTCATGCTGCCACAATAACGTTGTCTTCTTATAGCTTCACTGCAGTGATTGATGTTGAATGACATTGTTTATCCTGCCATTTGTTTAGGGGTTAGTTACATTTTAGGGTTCAAAGGGAAATTATATTAAATGACTCAAGTCTGTGACAGCTGAGATTTTTCATTACTATGGATTGTAGACTGACGTTTTCAGAAGCTAGTGCAGCAGTTATTTCAAAGGCCATGGCCCTACCTAGATGTATTTGTGAATTGTCAGCCATTGTGAAAAAGATTAACAATAATTTATTCTAATCGTAGGCTTTGCCGAATAAATAGTTGGGGGGGGGTGTTATTCTGACTGGTGCTGAAGACTCTCACCTGATTGAATAGAGGACGTTTCCATTTTTGAATATTCTCAAGAGCTTGTTGTCAGTGGTGACCTCGTGGAAATGCGCTCCCTTCTCATTGGCGAAGAACAGATCAGGCTTCCAAATGGAGTCTAACATAGAGGGATCCAGGTCCAGGGAGTCATCTGGGTACTCGCTGTAAGCTAACCGAGGGTCGTTCCACTGCTGCCGGAGGAATATGTTCACTCTGTAATCCTAAGAGACGAGTAAGTGCTTAACATCAGTCAAGGCAAATAGCACAGAAGAGTTAAACATGGCTTTCTGCTGGTTTTAAATCAAACATAATAGGTACTTTCATGTACAAGCTTGCACAAGTGCTGGAAGTTCGGAATGGAAATGAGCGTCATTCCTTAAAAATTACGGTATAGTAAAATACTGTGTGAGATTTACACATTTAATGCACTGCTATTTACATTTTCACAATTATATATGTGACATCACTCTTCTTAAAATCATGAGCAAAATCATTCAAGAGTGAAACAAGTACAACCCAGACTATATTAAATATGAGCTAAAAGTTTGAAAACCACCCCCATAAATAATTAATCAATTCTGTAATCAGTCTGATGTTGTGTCAGGTCATGGAGTTTAGCCAACTTGTTACATTGTCAACAGTTTTATAAATATCTTAGCAGTTTAGCAAAGGTTATGCCCCCAAGAGGTTACTTCTCCAATCCAATCATTGGGCAATAAACTCAAACATCAATCAGATCTGTTCTGTCCTGTTCTGTTCTGAAAAGTGAGATAGTATACAGTATATACATATACTGTATCCCAGACAGCAAACTGACATTGAATCAACGTGGAAACGACGTCTCTCATGATGAAATTGAAACAACGTTGATTTTGCTCATCGAATTAACGTTGAGCCAACGTCAGACGCGGCATTCTTCAAAGCTAAATGAAAATCGAAAATTGGTTTGCTTTCATAACGTTGAAACAACACGTTGATTTCAAGTTGATTTTCCGTTAGTTTTGAAAGAATGACGCGTCTGACGTTGGTTCAACGTTAATTCGATGAGCAAAACAATGTCAGATCAACGTTGTTTCGATGTCATATTTCCACGTTGATTCAATGTCAGTTTGCTATCTGGTATATATGCAGCCCGTTCTCATTCTTTAAAGTCATATAGAACGCTATATGCAAAAACGGCGCTATACTACGCACATGGCACCCTTTATCGTTAATATAACACGCAAACCCAAGACGTTATAAATCCTTTAGCGTGAATATGACACGCACACCCTACCCCACACCTAAACTTAGCCCTCACAGCACGTGTTATATTAACGATAACGGGTGCCATGTGCGTAGTATAGCGCCGTTTTGTCATATAGCGTTCTATATGACGTTAAAGGATGAGAATGCGTTGATATATGAGAGACCGAATATTGTTTCTCTCTTGTTTCTCTCATAGACATATCACAGACATGCCATTACATTTGTCTTGAGACACAGCCCATATTAAATTAAAATTCTGAGGGAAAAATGTTGTACAGTTTTATATATGCCATTATTTTCATGATATTTGCCTAGAGGCCTGGCGGAACTACATGAGTAATGAAGAAAAGAACCTTAATAAACCTCTAAGCTTGCAGACAGAGTTACAATAATTTGAAACAAATAAAAGCTAAAAGAAAATGGTAAAATGTTAATAACACATCCAAGTAAAGAGTAAAACTTCAGCTTTTTGACAACAAAAGTTATTTTGTTCAAAATTTTAAGAGTATACTATAGTCAGACTGAATTTGAATGAAAGCGATAAAATGAGCAGTCAATGATAATGAATGGAAGGTGACGGCGTGTGGGTGATATACTGTAATTTGTTAGGCAGCAAGGCGGTTAGAGAACCTGGCAGTTTTCATATCTTATCTCTGTCTTTCTAAAACACTCGAAGAACTTCATCAGAAGGTCCGTGCATCTGATTTCATGAGTGCTGGAATATTGAAAGGAGGTTCTGCTCATGTAGTTCCACATGGGAAATAGGTGCAACACAATTATTAACCAGGCAAATCTCAACTGTGTCAGATCCGCACCTTGTCAGCAGTCATGCAAACGTCTCAAGGCAAGGTGTTCTGCTCCTTTTCCCAAAACATCTAATTGCAGTGGTTTGTCGACAGAAACGTAGCTGATGCTCACAGATAACAGATCACCGAATTGGCTGATGAAGCTTGCCTTACTTTCATTACAGAAGTCACACCACTTCTTTGTCATTCTATTGCCCGCTTTGTCATCAACTTAGCAGCTAATTATGTCCTCTGCACATTTCTTTACGGTTTGTGTGGAGGAGCTTGATTGAACCCATGCAGAGCATCTGCGATTACTCAGCCCGCTGCAGGCCTTCAGTGGCTCCATGGCAATCTCCACACATCTGCTCTATGATTGCCTACTCAAGTGGGACTCAATGGCATTTAGGGGGGAATCTGCGCCTGTGCCAACAGCCAGCGATTAATCAAATCTCGTCTGTGGCTTCTGTAACAGTCAGATAATCCTGTCAATACATTCACTGCTTTGGTGGTGACTATTGAAACACTCAACCAGCATAACTGTTGGCAACTCTGAGCCTGCATGTTGTAAGCATATGCCAAAAGTAGCAATGGCAAAAAATAAAAATGTGGCACTTACGAGCAAAAATCAAGTTTCACATCAGTCCAGACGTGCCAAACAAAAGCCAAAGGGTCATCTGTCTGTATGGAGACATGTTCAACTACAACCCCTTAATATGTTGTTGTGAAACAGTAACTACTTGAGGTTAGACCTTCATAACCTCATAATCGGAAAATAAAGAAATAATAGATTAAAGCAGTGGATCATTGTATAATCCCTTAGATGCTTATATGCTCCTGTCCTTTAATTTTCTTTCATTTTAGTGAACAATTTAAGTGACGTATGAAGAATAAATGGTATATTATATATAAATGGTGTCACTTGTCATTATTAAAATCAGCTGTCTCTGAACTGAGGATTGTCCAGAATAATGTTCTGTTGTTGCATTGTTTTTGTTCCTGGATGTTAGGATTATCCCATGGCCCTAATACTGAAGGAAGGCGATCTCCAAGGGTCAGATGGAATCAAAGAAGGGTTAATCCATATGTAACATGTGAGGAAGCATATCTAGAGATAATTCCTTTCCATGACATGTCAAAGGACAACCAATAAGAAGGATGTTGTTTAGTACATTGAAAATATGTCCTAAATCTCCAAAATATGTGTAATATACAACAGAAAGTTTTGAACATATCCAGATATTTTCTTGATAGACCTAAACAATGTGTCTTGTGTTAATATTATCTATCCATCCTAATGGAGCGGATTCTGTATGAGAAAAAAAAAGAGCTGTAAGAGTTGCATTTTAAATGTATTTTTTTTAACAACTTAAGGAATCTGGACACACATACACTCCCACTGAGCTCAGTTGTGCCCTATATCACATAGAACAGTTTGTTGATTTCAGTGGCAAGAGACTTGTATCCAGCTTGAAGGAAGCAATATTTATGAAGAGAAGTCCACTCTGAGTGAGGGAAAAGCTTTGGAAAAAAAAAGCAGATTCTCTTCAGACATAATTATTTCAGAGTGAGTGTGCCATCTCACAGCGCATAACTTATTCAGAGCAAGCAGAGGGATGAAGGTGACAAGGCACTCTCAGTAAATGTGTGTGTGTGTGATGAGCTTGTGCATTCAGACATGAATGTTGGGACACTTGTGTAGATAAGATAAAAGCACATCTCCTTGTTCCTGTGTGTAGATCCGTCTTGTAATGGGGTGAAATCCCAAATGTGTCTGTCTGCAGAGTATGGCATGACCAAATATTAAAAAAAGACAACAAATAAATAAATAAATGAATACATAAGACACAAAATACACATGTTCATTGCTGAGCACACCTGGAGCCTGTTTCTATTCAACTGTGGTGGCATATAATGTGCAAACAAGATCCCTGCAGGGATGAACTGCTCAAGTAAGTACAATAACTCCTTTCTGCTACTCATTTGCTGATCCCCTGGAGGATTAAAGATATGGCTACCTGTATACAAGCATACCAGACCCCAGTACATCTAAAGGGTTGGATGCTTTCTTCTGCATGAACAGCTGCTCATTGTTTCTTCATGTTAGTTCACAGTGCATTAAACTAATGCTAACAAGATTTTTATATGGTAATTAGTAAATGTTCAAATTAACATTAACAAAGATTAATAAATGCGGAATACGTGAAGTTCATTATTCGTTCATGCTAACGAATGTTAACTAATGTTAACTAATAAACCTTATTGTAAAGTGTTACCGAAAAACTTTTGTCTACCAAAGGTTAATCCAGGTTGTGAAAGTTCATGGTGCGTTTTAAGGAATTGATTATGTTATCACTTTTTTAACTTTAGTTAGTGTATTATTGCTGATTGATTATAAACAACATCTGCAAAGTTACGATGCTCAAAGTTCAATGCAAAGGGAGATATTTTCTTTTACAACAAACGGCTGGTAGGGACTATATCAAGCTTCTTCTCTGGTTGTTTACATCACAAACCCTAAAGTTCACCAGCCCTGCCCACTGATTCGAGCATGACAAGTAGTAGGTAAATAACAGATGTTATTCTACAATGCAACTAATGACTGGTTCAGATTACACTTTTTTTTTTTTTTTTTTTGTCTGTTGCGATAGTCGCTTTTTCGGAAGTTTTAGATTTCACTAAACATATTTAGATATATCAAAATCATCTTCCATTGCGATTTCCTGTATTTTTAGATCTTCACAGTGAAAGGTAAAACTTCCGAAATCTCTGTGTAAACAATGAGTGATGTACACGCGCAAACGATCACTTCCGGCGCATGCGCAGACCGAAGTGCCCATCCTTCAGATCAGTTGGACATGGCTGTGGTTACACGAGGGAAAAGCGATATTAATACTGTTCGTTTTCTCACACAGACCGCTCATTTCGTGTCTTAGGCCATCAATGTGTTCTTACATTTATGAGTCATTAAATCATGTTTAATTTGGACTTCTCTCTGCATGCTTTTTGAGGTGAACCCAGGGTGGACCCCCTAAACCTGTATTATATGACTGAAAGACAACAACGGTTTGACCGAAAAACATCAAAATTGAAAATACTGTGGAAACAAAGACACCTACATCTTGGATGCCCTTGAGGTAAGCTAAAACATATCAAAAATCAATTTCAAAGTGAACTATCCCTTTAATCTGTGATTAAATTGTATATAAAGTGATCAAAGAGCGCTTCCTTTTACAATTGGTGGAGCTGTCAATCAAACAGCATGATGGACTCTTGCCAAAACTGCCATTATAATCATCAAATCTCTTATTCACATCATGTTTGCACTGTTAGTTATGATGAAAGCATTCATTAGTGTGCAGAAATCGAGCTACAATGACGAGATCACTGCAGTCATGCGCTCAACATGTCTGTGATCGATTACAATGCAGATCCGCTGCAACCTTTTATACCATGATCTAAATGGGATGCTATAGATCTAAACATAATGCTATAATCAACAATTTTCACGATTAGTCAACCTTGAGAACTGTAATAGTAAAGATCTGCTAAAAGTTTTCAGGAGAGTTCCACATGTAATGGCCACTGGTGTTGCTAATAACAAGGGTTTCTGAATTCTACATACAGCCACTTTAAGGGGATGATTTCAAGGGCTGAGACAAAAGACAAAGGGTCTAAAGCCCTCCTAAATTACTTCCTCGGAGCCTGGTGAAGGAAGCAAGATTGTGTGCCCTCTGATATTCAGCCACCAGACACATCCTAACAGTGTCCTACGGTGTTTCTCACAATCTGGATTTAGATGTAATCCGACATGCAGACAAAAACGGAACGTTTCCCCCATAGAAAGTTTCTGAACTGCATATTTTAATGACAGCCTATTAGTGCATTAATTACACCCTGTAGAAACAATCATCACAGAGCTAATATAATTGCTAGGATGTATAATGTGTAAACACCACCACGGGGCATTTGTGCATTAAAACTCATACATGATCGCCGGATTGTGAATACATACCATAGTTGTCTCTGCAATGGAGCCGAAACTGTTAATGAATATGTTGCATGATACATTCACAGGCGGACCTGTAAAAAAGTAAAGTGAAATCAGTCATGATACACCACAACCTCTACAAAGACTTTTAAAAGTGTCACTGTTTAACTAAGGTTTTTCTATGAGTATTTACTACTTCAACTATAACTGATTATACTTTTGTTTTTTCAATTTCTTATTAAATGGTATTATCCAGTTTTATCTCCTTTGCATATTCTTTGCTCCAGAGAATAATTGTTCAACTTTTGGTTCCACTTTACTGACAATTAAATGAATCATGTTTTTACATTGTACTTATATTTAACAAATACCTGCATGTACATACAGATGATATTTATTTCTGTAATTGCATCTATAATTACACAGTTGATATATTGATGTGTACAATGAACTCAGGGGATACATTTATCGCTTTAGTATGCATCTGTTTAAAACATAGCGAAGTCACAGAAAAGTCAGGTTCCTATCATTGAGCGTTGCTTCTCTCTTTTTTAAAACTGTTCAAACTCCCTTTACTTGACATTTATGAATTAGAGGCTTCTGTAAATGAGCTTCTGAGGGGAAGTCTTTTGCCAGTTTAATAATTTAAGAAAGTTCAGGCTGATTTATGGTTTGAGATGGTTTGGGTTCAGGGCCATTCTGTAACAGAATGGAAGCATGTATTCAGGGTCACTACAGAAACATCTAGAAGCAATAGGAACCAGGAGCTGTGCAGTATTATTACATAATTATGTCATGCATGAAACGGATGTCACATCTGCTTCAGCTTTGTACCACATGAAAGATAAATCTCATATAAGCAGCAATGATTATTATAAATAATGGTTTTGAAAATATAAAATCAAAAACGAGAAATGGTGGCAAAATAAATAAATAAATAAATACAACCCAAAATGTATTCCTTTGAAGGAGAACAAGAGCAAACTACCTTTAAAGTTGGGCCTTATTCTGGCATCATAACCTGAGATTCTTCCCATGAGCTTGTCAAGGAAGACAGAGGGTGACATGGATTCCGCTTTTCTTCGAGGGTTTTCTTGTTCTTTTGATGTTACCAAACTTTAAGAGTAAGAGAGAGAGAGAGAGAGAGAGAGAGAAGAGAGATATATATATTTTAGCAGATCAGCCACGACAGTCAACAAGGCTACACATTTAAGGGGCTATACTAATGTCATCTGACATTAATACTCAGGTTTTGCATTTGGGGGATTAGACAAGGCTGTAGGTTAGTCAATATGCAGCTTTTATTCACTTCAAGATATGAAGACTAAAAACACAGATAAATATCTTTCCATTCAAATAGGTATATAACAAATTTACCATCTTGAGCAATGGATTTAGCAATGTTTGCAAATGCCCGTGGATAAGAATTGTTATTGCACTGCATTAATGCCACCACTACCCAGCTGAAAAAAAAAAAACAGATATTATAAGAGTAATAGGTTGCATAACAATAATAATAGCATTCAGCTTAATTTCATTTTGAAATACATGGCATATGCTTCTCTTATTGCATATAATCATACAGGGCTAATATGCAACGTAAACAGCTGGTGTACAAACTAATGCTGCCAAACTCCATAGACAGAACTCTGTATTGTGATGCACAATGGAAATTGTGCTGCCATATTTCCTATTAGTAATGACTGAAAGAGAATAATTTTGTCACGTATTATTGTTCTTGATACTGATCAGGGGTGAAAGGAAGTTATATTGGCAACTGCCGACATTTTAGCCCAGTGTTGAAATGTACTATTCTTAGTGATTGGCTTTTATATGTGTATTCTGGATTTTTGCAGTTGCACCCTTCTGTTCCTCAAAGCAAAGTTCACATACGGCAAGCAGAAATAGGCCGTGGTTAGAAGTAAGGAAACCTACAATGCTTGCTAGTGAATCTCATTTTGAAGAGTGAGAAGCACATGTTATTGATCAATTTGTCTTAAACCAAAACACAAGGTATTTTCAGGAATTTGTGGACATCATACTGTTAGATCAAAACACAAGGGACGTATGGTTAAAAGACGTTCCAAGACGTCAGTTAAATGACGACTTGGGATGAGACTGTGTTAAATATCCATGAGGAACATACATGCTTTTAAACATTTAAACCTTCTTGTTGCATAAGTGCAGCATCTGGACCAATCAGACACACATTATACATTATTTAATGAATAATCCAGCAAACTTACTCACCCAACAAGGTTCTGTGAAACTTCCCCCCCAAAACTAACATCACAAATGAAGCGGGAGAATCGTGACTAATGCTTAATTCCTAATTATATATATATATATATATATATATATATATATATATAATCATGTGATAAATGTATTAACATGTATCTAATTTTCCATCTCATGATTTTTCTTTTATTTGGTTTGGCCTGTGTCTTCATTCTATCTTCTAAACCATTTTGGTCTGAAACATGACATGCTATGCATAACTGAAACCCTATGTGTAGCATGTTTTAGTCTCAATAAACTCACATCTCCGTCCCCCATTTGTTAATTTACATTACATTTTGCTAACTTTAGTACGCATTAGTATTATATACGAATATTGTAGATACTTTTCATAAACACCTAATGAAATTACACATTCAAATGCCCTGGTGTGAGATCGTCACGCTTTAAAAATCACTGATCACAAGATTAGGTGTCTTAGCTATCTCTTGCTCTCTTAGCATTTTGCTCACTTACTCAGAAGTCCTAATGTGAAGATGATGCTGAACTAGAAGGACCCCCAAGCTTGTGTCAGGCCTTGGGGGGGCTTGTCTTTATATTCACCAAATGGAACTCCCAGTGCTCTGACTCCCAGTTCTCTCTCATCAAGACCACATCAGCAAAGATCAACTGGAGCCTCAACAAATTGCATCAGAACAGTTTAATTCAAATGGGCGAAACATGCAATTATCAAACTCAGTCTTATTATTTGAAAGATTAAGTATCCTAAAGAAGGGTGTGTTAGAACTAAACTGATGATTTGTTCAGACTGTTGATCTTCTGAACATCAAAAATGCTACAGTATAACTTCTTGCTTTCCTGTATTCTGATTCAGCTCTCTTTCCCTTGGTAAACTGTAGTTTAAAAGTTTAGTCTAGTTAATAAAGTCTTGTTCATATCACACGTAAAGTTGTCCGTGTCTCATGCTCATATCTGGAGTCACTAATCATAGATTTTGACTATACTTGCTTTTAGTAGTACTTAGTAAGAAAGACATTTCCCATGCCCGGGTGTATTAAGTGTTCACTGGATGAACCAAGTAATTGGTTTGTAATGTAGCTACATCAAGTTAACCCGATGATCTAAATATTCATAATCAATTATAACAAGTTAAGAATGATTATTCATATTTCATAGAGCCAATTTGCTACAGGAGCATAATGCACACTTTATTAAATCACAAATTACTTTCAATTGTCTTTTTTATACTTTTTACAAAATATATATTTTGTGAAAGTTACACATCTGTCCACTGCAGTGGACACAATACATAAAAGGTGGTGAGAGAAGCACAATATGCCCTATTGTTCAAAATTCTCTAAGTTGAATGTAACATAATATTTCTTCATGTATGTTCCCCTCACTCCCTGAACTCTTTCCTGACAAGCTTAAGCATATCCAGTCAGTTTTGCTGGTATAATAATCCAGGATAATGTATTAGTCATGCAAACCCCTTTGACATAATCATTATTATCATATGGAAATAAGGACACTGGTGATCTGAAACACCACTTTTTATAAAATATGGGGAAATCTGGAATTAAATTAGTAAATTCAACACTAATCTGTTGCTGTAGTATTGTATTATAGTTTTAATGTAGAATACAGCAGTATGAAACAAAGAAATAGCATCTAGGGAATATTAATGACAAAAATCAATCATTTGTCAACAGACTGGCAAAAAATGTGTGCTAAGATAAATGTTACAATTTTGAGTGAAAACAAATGTAAGAAATATGATGAAAAATATGAATAACGTTTCTAAACAAAAATGTCAAATATAAATATGAACTAATACATTTAAAATAAATAAAACATAAGTAACATTCAGTGTCTGCATATGACCATGATTTGGCTTTATGTGTAATCTGTGACATGATTCATGTATTAAGCAATGTGACAAGACGGTATCAGGAATGCTTATTTCTGAAGCAACTCGTTAAGTTTCTGATGAACATAGGTCAAAGCCCAGATAGTAAGTTTTAGGATTAAAAGCTTTTCTCCCTCAAAATTACAGCATTACTGACACTCGCTGCTCCGTCCCGCAAAATCATCATGTGAGGAAAACACACACATTAACAACTCTGAGGCTGCTTTGCTCAGCACAGATCAGCTTTGCTCACCACTGTTGACATTGACATTCCTCTAAGCGTTCTGTTGCCATTTATTCTTCACCAGTTTTCTCTTTCTCATTTTTCTAAGGCTTTGGGTACTGTTGCTTTAGTTCTGAAAGCTCTGAGACTAAGCAAAACTAGATCAGTTTAGATGAAAGCAAAAGTGACTTGAGAGGGCTTTAGTGTTTCTCCATATTTGGCTGGAACAGCATGAGGAAAATGATTTTACTCTCAACCTTTACTCCAGAGCCAACTGCAGAGAATAATCGACTTTGATATCTTTCCACATCTGGGAACAATGTTTTTTGTCTCACAGTTGTCTGTTTTCCCTCCTTTAGGGCATAACCACAAGTATATTGAGGAACATTGAGGGCGACAAGTCCACCCTAATAATTAGATATGGTGAAAATCGTCCCACATGCTTCAATTTTAGGGGCAGTTTACAAGACACATTTTAGAAACTGAAAACGTTGTATGCGTTTTGACCATTCATTCACACAAAAACAGCATTCCCTTTCGAAAGGGACCTGTCAGTGACACTTTGGGGAACGCATCCGTGTGAACCGGTGTATTAAAACGCTTATCTAATCACGACAATCCTATTGGCCGGCGACAGCCTATGACATCATCACTAGTGCGATCTGGAAGTACAGTAGATAAGGAGAGCCTGTATTTAAGGAGATCATGTCAACAACATGTTGCCAAAACCTGAAAAGCTTGAGCAACAGCAAGTTACCAACAATACTGGATGCTGCCCTTTCCTGGAAGACCTAAACGTGTATGTTGCCAAAACCCGCATCAGCCATAGCAACAAGCATGCTGTCAATACCCTAAATGCTTAAGCAGTAAACATATTGCTATGGATGACATGCCATCTGAAGTGTAGAAGTGAAAATTGAGATATCAAAATGAATCACCTGCTTACTTGTGGTTGTATCCCAAGTCCAGGTCCAGTTTATTTTTGAGAGACTGGATTGGATTGGGATGCGTCTGTCAAGAATGACAATGCTTGGGTAGTTCACATTAGTCCATGCTGGTTAACTTCAATCGTCTTTCCCTCAACATTAGAAGGTTGTTGACGTGGTCGGTCAAGAATTCAGGTTGAATGCCAAAGTCTACAAGATCTTGTTTATCTACATCTTTAAAGCGAAGCTTTGGTCTAACAGTATGACGAGTTCCCTCTTCCAGAACGCCATGGAGGATAGAGTGTGGGATATGAGATGGTGGCATTCTGTTTGCATGTCCTGCCCATCTGAGATAAATTAATTTGAGCCTTGATGATAGAGGTTCTGAATTACGTAGTTATCTTAAAGACTTCCTCGTTTGTCATCTGGTCTTCCCAAGTTTTTCCTATGATGAACCATAGGTTTCTAGTCTACTTTCTTGTGGGCGATGGGTTGGCTAGATTTCTGCTCCATAGAGGAGAATGCTCAGGACACAGGCTCCATAGATTCTGACTTTAGTTCAGACAGGCAGGAGTCTATTCCGCCAAACTCGTTTAGTGAGTCTTCTGAAGGTAGAAGCTGTTTTACCAAGTCTGGTACCGAATTCGAGATCAAGTGTTGCATTTTTTGGGGTCATTGTAGAACCCAAATAGTCAAACTTCACCCTACCCAGCATTACATCATGAAATGACTGAATCCGTAAGAGTAGGTGGACAGAAAGCTTTCACAAGGACCTGGAAAAGAGATTTCCACATACAGTAGTCAAAAGCTTTTGTTA